CGCCGGTCGAAGGGGTACGAGGGACGGCGACGTCGGCCGCCGCCACCGCCCCGGCCCCCGCGTCGTGCCCCGCAACGGCCACCGCCATCGGGCCGGTCTCGGAAACGTTGGTTGCGCCGCCGCCACTGCTTCTCGTCACCTCGCCCCCGAACGCGGGAGCTGCGACGGCAGCAGCAGCAGCAGCGGTGTTGTCACCGACGTCATGTCTGTTCTCCTTGTCGTGCGGGCCGGCGGCGGCGGCGGCGGCGGCGGAATCGCCCCCGGCCGCCCGGTCCTCTTCCCCTACCTTCACTCCCCCCTCTAGCAGGAGCTGCATGGTTCTCTTCTTATCCGCTGGGCAGTGGAGGGTACAGATGTCCTGTGTGTGGCGGCGGTTGTGCATTGTCGTGTGGTGGTTGTTGCGGCAGAAAACGGCGGGAGCGGGGGCGGCGGGAGGCTGACTGCGATCGGTGCTATGGTCGTGCCGGTCGCCACACGCGTTGCGAACTCCAAAACGACACAAAAATAGGAGAAAAAAATGCACCCGTGAGTGGTTTTCGTACGGGTTTGAAAAGGGCACCCGCCCTCCCTAGATAACATGTGGTTGTGGTCCAATGGCGAGAAGGCGGGGAGAGGGGGGCTCGCGGCGGCTAACAATCAGCGCTGGCCGCCAAGAAAAAAAGGAGCAACGTCCCACACCGACGCTACATGTAAAATCAAGAGGTTGGGAGAGCACACCCACATACTGCTGCCCCCGTACCACCTTTTCTCCTCGGCGACCTCAATCAAGGTGTAACCCCTGCCCCCCAACGCCGACTGTGACACGAGACAAGGGACACCAAATCACCACGCCCCCCCCCCCCGTGCCCCCCTCTCTCAGCTCACCATTGGGGTGTGCCCGTCCTTGTTCTTGTCGGCAACCGACAACCCGCACCCAAGCAAGAACTTCGCGGCCGCCGCCGCGCCCGACCCCGCCGCCGAGTGAAGCGCCGTGTTGCCGTTAGCGTCCAGTGCCTTGAGGTTGGCCTCGTGGGCCGCTAGGAGCTGGAGGCAGCCCAGGAGGCCTTCCCTGGGGCAGGTTATGGGGAGGGGGTTCTGGCCAAACTTTTCCCCCCGGTTCACTTCCGGGCATCCTTTTGGGAGGAGTTTCCGCCCCGGCGTTTTTTGTTGTCGTTGTTGTTGCTGTTGCTGTTGTTGCCGCTGTTGTTGCTGCTAGAACACAGGGACATATGGAGGAATCTGGGGTCACGTAGATACCCCTAGTGTAAGTAAGAACCAGCAGAGAGAAACAGCGGTCCTCTCGGCAGATTCTGGATACTTTTTACAGAGAGAAGGCCTGCAAGTGGGCATACGTGATTCCCTCCCCGAAAAGATGGGCGGGGTTGGGGGGGGGGGGGGGGGTCTCTCACGCTGCCGTGCTGTGGCACTGATTCGGCAACAACCGGCAACAGCTATAACATCCACACCATCGCATCACGCCCGTATTCAGAAGACATATGCCAAACACACAGCTAAACATGCCATCCGTATTTTAGTCCCCTTGAACGTAACGTAAACCCCTCCAGCTGTCTACGTCACCCGGAGGAACTTTGTAGTTTCCTCGCATGTCTTCAATTTTCAATTGCATGTTTGCCGTGTGAACATAACTTTTAGCCCCTGACTGCTTACGCAAGCGGCCGGCCGGAACTTCTTTACGTGCGAGCACCAACTCTGCATGCAAACAAGGGGGCCAAGAAAAAAAAATAAAAACGAGTGGACCAACAGGAACAAACTTCGCCTAAAGTATGTACAAGTTAAAATAAAGAACACATGAAGCATGAGGCGGAAGGGTCCGAAAGGAAGGAAGGCACAGCAGCGGAGAGCGCGCAGCACGCTCGCTGTACAGCAGTACAGGCACAGAAAGAACTCCGTCACTCTTTTTTCTCGTGCCGTCTTTCCACAAATGTTCTGAATCCGGAGACTGCGCCCTCTGCTGCTCTCTGCTGCTGTCCAGCAGGTGGAAGGCGCACCGGGGGACCCCGCGGAATAGATGGCCATGGTTGTTTTTTCTGGTCGTACACAACACGCAATTACTTGTACATACGTGTAAGGATATATAGAACATTGGTGGTCGACGCCAACCACGGCAAAATAGGATGAACGCACAGGTGCTCTTGCAACGCATGCCCCGGGAGCATATTATTGGACGCTGCATCAAAAAGGGCGTAGGTTCTCGGTCGGATCCTGCTTTCGAAAAAAGAACACTGCTGTTGGAGACGGAAATCGAGCTACAAGTACAGCAGTAGACTTCAGGAGCTGTACAATGGAGACAAAACACACCAAGAAATACAACACTGGATTAAAAAATGCACGCTCGCCGCCTGTCGCAGACCTATTTCTTCAGGGTTGCCTCGGATCGCAGTCCTCACCTGCTGGTCCTCACATCAGGAAGGCAGCAAGGCCGCCATCGACGATAGGTACACAGCAGCGGTTGTGAATGGATACAAATCACACAACACACAGGGCAGTGCAGAGCAACAATTCGTGTAACAGACCCTCACTTGACAGGCACTGCTTTCGTTCATGTCGGCTGGTTCGTGTTGGCAATCTCCTCCGATCTTATACTCCTTCATCTTACAATCATAGACACACATGGGAGGCATATCAACTCTGTGTCTCGGAAAAGCTCGCGGGGTAAATAAATGCTCGCAGAGTAGTGGGAGACAGAGAGAGCCACAGGGAACTCGGAGGTCGTCGGGGAACCGCGAGGTGGAAAAGGGCGTGCTTTTTCATGGGTTCAACAAAGTAAGACACAATCATGCGATCGCAGACCCCATACCATGGGGCCGGGAAACCGAATCTGAATGTCTGTTGTACACGTCTCTGCTGCCGTGTGCGTGGTTTTGCGGTCGGTGCGTGCATCTTCCCTGCTGGTGCTGGTGGCCTTTTGGATCACACCGCCAGAAGTCTCGCAATACTGCTGTAGCAGCAGCAATGGGTGCATGGTCTCACCACACACACTCACCCTTCTGGCAACACCCCGGCGGCACACGCGTGTGTGTGTGCCGCTCAAAAGATCTTTTCACGGTAAACCCTGCGTTTGACAGTGGGCAATATACCGCCTCACCCTTGCTCAAGATGGCACAACAGAAGCAGCGGCGCTCCAAGACAAAAACCTTCACGAACCCGTCTCTCTCGCTCGCTCTCTGTCCGCATTTGTATGGATATCATACGGTCGATCAAACACCCTGGTGCTCGGTGAGAGAGGTTCTAGCTGCCCTCCTGGCTGTCTGTCCATGCATACAATTTGCGGCTTTTGTTGTTGACCAAAAGTGTCAGCACGCACCAATCATGTACATGTCGGTCGCGCTTCTTCCATACGCCAACCTACCCACCACACACCGCTGCTACTGCTGCTGGCACGCTGCCACAAACAAATGCGTCCAGGCCGGTCGGAGCCGTTAAAAATACAGACAACCAGGGGCGCTGCTGTACGGACCACCCCAAGGAGAAAGACGACGGCAACTAATTTTTGTACCAAGTTTTGTGTGGGCGGGAATTATCAGAACATAAAGAGCCAATCTCTCTCGGTCGCTGTCTGTCTGTCTCTCTCTCTCTCTCTCTCTCTCTCTCTCTCTCTCTCTCTCTCTCTCTCTCTCTCTCTCTCTCTCTCGCTCACCTTCTCCTGCTTGCCCTGGAACACCGCGAGGTGGAGCTTCGACACCCCGCCCGCCTCCATGAGCTTCTTGTGCTTGGAGGCTTTCGTGGTGACCATGGTGATGACTCCACACCAGCCTAAAGGCACGGCTCTACCACTACCACCTCAGAGGGTCTGCTGAATCGATGATGTAGCAGAGGGTGTGGACGTACCGTTCAAGATCACACTCGGGGGGGGGGTTCCGCAGGGGCGCGAATATTTGCAATCCATGGATTATAAAAGAGAACCACAGTCCAAACATCCGGACGGATCGAAACCCCGGGAAACCGCCCGGAGTGTCCCCGAAGAGGTTCTCCTCTCTCCCTCTCAAATTCAATATTATCTCGGAGCCTGGATCTAACGCCCGTTGTCTTCGGAAGCAGAGCTCTCGTCTGCAGCAACAGCCTCAACAGTCCATACTGCCATACTGGCACATATTTCACGCCAAGGCCACCCTTCGCACCCGGGATGCCCAGGAGACGCTAGGCCTCAGAGGAACAGGAGGACACGACGACACACAACGCCCCGTACTTAGAGGAGTGCTCGTCTCTCTCTGTGTGTGTGTCTATCCGCGTGTGGTGCTGCTGTTGTTGTGCGTTTCTGCTGCTGCAAGCAATTGTTGCTGTAGATTTTGTGAACTACATACAGCAGTATTCTTTTTTTGGGTAGATATAACCTGCTGCACGGTGCTGCCGTGATGGATGTCAGTCATCATGGGGCCGTCAAAATCTGTAGGCATCGTTTAGTTCGCACACCGCAGGCCCGCTCAACAAACTCGAGACGCGGCTCACACGGTTTTCTTCGCAGAGCACACAGGTCGACAAGCACAGATAGACGCAGAAAAAAACAAAACAGAACAATCAATATCCAACAGCGATTTGATGATAGACTGACCCCCACCAAAAAAATGAAAGGACCTGGATATGACCCCAACACGGCAAAAAAGGGGGCGGAAGAAAGAAAAGAAAAGGAAATGGAACAAAAGAAATAAAAACAGGACAGGAACCAGATGGCCCCATCGAACGCTACACCGCAACAACCAAATAGACATACAAACACAAAATCGACAACATCACAGACGGCGATCGGCGCAAAAACGCCGAAGCGAAAAATAAACAACACACCGAGCCTTGACCTGCCGCCGGGGGGGGACAAAACATCGTTCAGGCATATGCCCCGGTGACGTCGTAAACCTAGGGCCGCGTACCGCTACTCACGTACCCCAAAGTATGCAACACCGAAACTAGAGTTGGGACCCCGAAGTCGCGGCTCTCTTGCTACCCCCTCTTGTGTATCTTTCTGCAGCGCCAGGTCGTCTTTTATTACTTGTCCTAGCGGGCAGGCGAACAGTTCCAGGGTTGGCCATGAAGAGAGCCGCCCCCCGCCCTCCCGTCGTTGTAGTTCCTACCCCGCCTGCTTGCACATTGACCATCGTCAGAAATTGGTCCACGAGGGCTACGGCGACTGTCGGTGAAAAGCGATCAGACAAAATACTCGCGGCTTGCCCGAGCTTCTTCGTTACGTCGGCGTACAACACTTGTCTATCCTGGTCCGTGGGCCCCTTCTCCTTCAAGTCCAACAGGACCGTCTGCACCGTCTGGCTGCTCCCAACGAAAGACTTCCATCTCCCGCTGCATCCCCCCACCCCCTCTCCCTCTCCCTCTCCCGCCGCCCCGTCCACTTCTCTCGCAGCGTGGCGGTTGGATACCACCCACCGAGGGCGGGCGACATCCGGCCAGTCCTGCTGCGGTGTTCCCCTCTGCCTTTTCCGTCAGCCAGTGCTCGTGCAGGAGGCCTACGTGGAATCTGAATCGGGGGCTGTACATCATCGCCGCCCACACATGGCGACAAAATAGCCTGAGAGTTTGGAGTGTGCGGCACTGGCAGAGATGGCTACCGTCGGAAAAGAGCAAGACGAGGTAGTCGAAGGCCTTGTCATCACGCTGCTCGTGAATCCCGAAGACGTAAATGGCGTCGCAAAGCTTGTCCTCGATGTACTCGAACGTGCGCCCCGAAGCTGCCGCGCGTTCTGGTCCATCCACCTCCCCACCACCCATCTGGCAAAACGTGATGGCCGCGGTCATCTCTTGCTCCATGAACCGCCGCGGCCAGCCCGCGATGGAGAACTCGCAGGACTCGAGCACACTCTTGAAAGCGGTCGCTGGTGGAGCCG